ATTAAAAAAAAGAGGAAAATATATATATATATATTTATTGTTTTTTTTACTAATTTGTTACATAAACAAGTTACTTTATCGCCATTTGTCAAACATTTTTGGGAATTTATGTTCAAGAAATAATTAGTATAATTAAATTTTAATTTTTATCCTTTCAGTAATTTTGTATTATAAAAAACAAATGCGGGCTAGGATTTTTTTGAGTTAGTCTAATTGCTCAGTAAAATAATATTTCTAACAATAAATTACAATATATTTAACAATATATTTCAAGAAATATATATTTTTTTAAGTATTGGATATATTGATATATTGAAATAAATAAGTTAGTATATCAGATCAGTAATTTTGCTAGAAATATTAAATCCCAATTATTTAACAAAATATGTTTCTTAAAGTATTTTCATTTTAAATTATTTTATTCAACTCTATAGCCTAATATACAATTTAGATACAAACTCATAATTTATTTTATATGCTTGATATAAAAATATATACATGTTTTCATCATAGCTTATTATTAGACGATGGCACTAAAGTATAACTTGTCCATATTAAGATTCAAGAATCATCACGTGTATTTTTGATTTCGACAATATATTACAATAAGAAATGATTGAAAAGAGAAAGCAATGAATGTTAATAATAAGATTATATGATATTCTTGTGCGATATGTTTATTTCTTTGTCATCTTAATGTTAATTAATTAATTAATAATCATTTTGAAAAGTATTTTGTAGTTTACCTATTTATGAAACATACTTTTAAAAAAATCAAATTAAGGGATTAAATATAATAGCAATTTTATGATAGAATAAATCATGATTTTTTGGGTGCATTTTAAGATGAACTACAAATTCTAGAAACAACTACCAATGATTATATGATTATTAATTAACTTTTGTGACAGTTATTAAGAAATTTAATAAGTATTAATGATAAAAAAAATGAAAAAATAGAAATGTGATTAAGTCAAAGTTTCTTTACTATTTTCAATCATAATATTATCTTTTAAAATCTTCGTATCTTCTTTTCAACGTATTATTATTTAGTAAATGTAAGAAGAAAAACAGATAAAATATGTTCAATAGTTTTACAAAAATTCAAATGAATAATTGTGTCCATATAATTAATATCGCATAATGTCTCAAATGTATTTCTAATGTTTGACGTACGTATTTGTGATCAAAATACTGTGATTAGTGTTGGTAGATTTATTCGCTGGTTGCAACAAACATGAATAACAAGCGTATTATACACGCACATACAGTATAATGAATTTTTCACTAAATCAAGTATTTTTAACTTTTACGTGCTGGCAGTGATTTATTGAGTTCAATAAAATCATAAATATAATCGAAAATAAGCTAAAAATAAGAAAAAGAAGAGAAAGAATAAAGAATGTAAAATCATATAAAATTATATCCAAAAAAAGCATTTATATTTACTTTTATTCATTAAAAGCAACAAATGCCTTTGTCTCATGAAACGCGTTTCGATAATCTTCATATTTATAAATAAAAAAAAGAAGTACATGCGATAAACGTTTGTGCTTTTTAATAATTCGGAGATGGTTAAGACTGTATAAAAAATATTTGAGGCGATCTTATAATACTTTTGTCATTTTATTAACCTTCCGAAAATATTAAACTATAACATCAGATTTATATCTTTAGCATGTGTTTATGTTTATGTATTCATTTATATATTTAAGGTGTATAGTTTTTGATCAATAATAAATAAAATCTTTTCATTTTAAATTTTGCATATGAAAACAGTTTTATTTTTTAAAATTTCGTTTTGTGCATATGCAAAAAAATTGTGTTGAATTAATATTTTATATCTTTATGATATGATTAATCAAACTGTGAAAAATAAATTTCTGGAGTTTATTAAAAAAAGAAATTTATCTTAATAATTTTTTAATTTAATTAATTTGAAATAAAATTAACTATTTAATTTAATTAATTTGAAATAAAAAATTTAAGAAAATTTAATAAGAAATAAAAAATTTATTCGTAAGTTTTTTAATTTATTATATTTTTATTTAAAAAAAGAGATAAATTTTCAAATACAAATATTATTATATATTATCATGTAATCTATTTTGATCATTTTATTTTTTTTATTGATAATAATGGTGATATACGCCATGTTAATATAGAATATTGGATAAATGACTACATAGTAGTATATAGTATTTACTTCTTGCAACAGTTTGTTATTTCTAATTGATGATAATTTTCTAAATATTTTTTAATTTTTTTTTAACAAGATATTAAGTAATACAAAAATTCAACATTAAATAATAAGTGCTAAAAACAAGTTGATTATTTATTCATGATGGATAGTACGAAATCACCTATGGATAACCTCTTTAACATGCTATCAAACTTTAGTGCAGGTCATGAAAAAGCATTAAAACAAGGCATTTATAATGCCGTGGCATTGTTTCTCTTGTGTCTAATTTCAGCGGCTGGGTACGGATTATATATTATATTGAAACCATTTGTAAAACCTTTAATCTGGGCTTTATTATGTGGCTCTGTTTTATTCCCTTTCAAATGCTCATTAACTACGATCGTACAGTCGTGGTTTGAAAAAGCAGAAATATCTCGTACGCCTTTAATAATAAATTTAATAATTTTACCTATGCAAATAATAGATAAAGCTTCTGATAGTTTAGGATCATTTTTGTGGAAACAAATGAAATATATTGCTAGTGCATTTTTATTGACAGCATTAGCTTTAGGTATATATCATTATACACCTACTATATTAAGTTGTCTCATATGGAGAATATGTTTGATATTTAATATTATTTTTGGATTTTTTATAACAACTTGCAATACTATTATGGTAATTTTTAATTGTTTAAAAAATGTTTTATAAAATATGTATTTTTATCAATATTAGTGTAATTTTTTCAGATTACATTTATACTTCTTGGATATTTATCTATATTATATATTTATTGGACACCAAATAACTCTATTCATTTTCGTTTTACATCGTTTGTTATGTGGTTCATAATTAGTTTATATGTTTCTAATATATTAGGTGCTTATCAAATTATTGTATTTATAACATTACAAATACTATATTTAATAGGATTTATTTATGAAGTAGTACTTATTATGGAAAATCAAGAATTAGAAGATAAACATATGACATTTATGGAAGCAATATCTTTTGCATTAACAAATAATTTAACTACAGATATACAGCAAAGTTCATTTTCTTCATCTTTCAAAAATGAAAAACTTATAAAAGATACTAATGAAAAAAATATAGATAACAAGACAAATATAGATAAGAAAACTGAATACCAAGAAACAAAAACAAAATTTTCCAAAAAATCAATGTCATTGGATGCAAATAATAGAACTGTAATGAGCAATAAATTGCAACCTCTTACTAATTCTATGTCATTACGTGATCGTTATTTGTTAAGAAGATTAAAAACAGAATTACGAATATCTATAGATATAGAAAATGATAAAGTTGATACTGACAAATATATGTATGGTACATTATATGCTTGCATAGGTATGCTTTTTTGGAAACATAGATGGATGATATATATATTGATTATTCCTATAGCTTTTTATATCATTAAACAACTTAGTAATTATTTTGGATTATGGAAAATGATTGAAAATCAATACAATATTATAAAACAAATTATAAAAGCATGGTGTATAGAAAGACATCAAGCTCTCTTACCAGCTAATATTAGAGGTTTATATAAATTTGGAATCATAATTGATGAAAAATTAACAAAAGTTTTAAAAGCTTCAGTTGATTCTGTAGTAACAATTGCTGTGATTTTTGGATTACTTATATTTACTACTTGTACTTCTATTTTTATAACAATACAGGTAAAATGAATTTATTATAAAAATTATTTTGCATATTTTACAGATAATTATATATTATTATATTTTTTTTAGGTTTATACAGAAGGTATGCATCTTATTCACATTACTGGAGAAATACTTAACTCATCTTTAATGAATAATCCAGATATTGATTGGTTACCTGAACACTGGGAAGATTCAGTTAATAGTGTATTAGATAATGCTTATACATATGGACGGAATGCTATTTCTGATGGAGTAAGATATATATATATTCTTATTATTGATAAATATATCTTAATAATGACATATATGTGATATAACATGTGATATATATGTAATATAGATAAAAAGTTTAGTAAGAGATCTAGATGCTGCTAAGGCTGATCAAATGGAAAAAAAAGTTTTAGAACTTTGGGATAGACTTTATCAAGCATGGATGATGTCTAATGCAGATTCTAATTTAATTGGACCTACTGTAGATGTTACAGTGGCTTATTCAGTATGGGAAAGTTTTAAAGAAAGTTTTGGGAAAACACCTTTACGTAAGATTTTGTATTTAAAATAAATATTAATTCTTATTTTTCTAATATTAATTAAAAATTATTTTTTATATATATATTTTTTTATATATTTATATATATTTTTTTTTATATATTAGAATTATTTAACATGACTGGTATACAAAACTTTATAAAAGAAAATATTGGAACTTTTATGTCAGTATTGGATTCCATTTGGAATATAATTAAAGGAAATATGTCTGTGATATTAACAATTTTTACAGAACTATTTTACATTATACTTATGAGTGGAACGGCAGTATTTAACTTTGTTCTAAGCATGGTAATTATCAATCAAAGTTATATATAATTTGAAAATATTTAAAATATATATTATATACAAAAAATTTTTTTTAAGGTGGTGTTTTTTACAACACTTTTTTATCTTCTTAGTTCTAGTGAAAAAACATATAAACCTGTTGAATTAACAACAGTATTCAGTCCTATTAGTTGTCACAGGTAAATTTTTTAAATAATTAAAATTATTAATATATTTATATTAATATAGTGTAAATTTTTTTATAAAATAAATTTTATGATTTATAAGCACTCTCCAAATTGAGGGGTATGTATAATATATATTATATATATATATATATATATATATCGAATTATACAAAAATAGATATTATATAAAAATAGATATAAATATCTAATGTTTTGTAGATTTGCTGTAGCATTACAAGAAGCTGTAATTGGAGTTTTTACCGCAACATTTAAGCTTGCTTGTTTTTTTGGCATGTGGACATGGTTTACACATAATTTATTTCAAGTAAAAATAATTTATTTACCATCAACTTTTGCAACAATACTTGGAGCTGTTCCATTTTTGGATGCATATTTTGCTTGTATCCCAGCTACTATAGAACTCTGGTTTAATCAAGGACCTATGATTGCTATTTTATTTTTCATGTTTCATTTTCTTCCTTGTAATATTGTTGTAACTGAATTCTACAAGGAAATTAAAGGGTATTATAATTTTTATTCAAATAAGCATATTTTATTTATTTATATATAAAATACAATGATTTATATTTATATTTTAGTGGTGGACATCCTTACCTTACAGGTCTTTCTATAGCAGGTGGAATTTTTTGTTAGGTGTAGAAGGTGTAATTTTTGGTCCATTATTATTATGTTGTATAATGGTAGCAATTAATCTAAGTCGCCGTTACTTGCATTCACCATCAGAAGAAGTTATATCCACATATACAGAAATTAAACATTGATAAAAAATTTTCTAATTAATATTTATTGTTAAATAGTAGAAAAAAAATTAACAAATTTTTATAAATTATTTTATTCAATCTCATAGATTGATTTTTAAAAATATAAGGCTAATAATAAGAATTAATGTTTTAAATTTAAAGCTTAACTATCTGAAATCTGAAATTTATGTAAAAATTAAATTTAAATTATTTCTAAAAATATTTAAATTTTGCATTTTTAAAATAATAGAATATTAAAAAAAAATTATTTGTATAATATTGTATTGTATAATACAATATAATACAATATAATAAAAAAAAATGTAAATTTATAAAAAAAAAAAAATAATTTACGAAATATGAAAATTTATCTAGTCTTTAAAAAAGTAAAGTTTAGTATTATTTTGCTTATAACAGAAATTATAAATTAGTGCTCTTACTCGAATTTATGGATTGCTATTGAGGAATATATTCTTAAATAAGAACGAATTCGGATTATGATAAATATTCCGAATATTCAGATATCCAAATAATAAGAATTCTATTATAAGTATATTAATTTATATAATATTATAATATGCTTATATATTTTTTGATCAATTTCTTCAATAGATGTATCTTATTAACAATTAAAAAATTTTAAGAAATTTTTGAAAGCTTACGCTTATTAATATTGTAAATATATTATTGAACTGAAAATATTATAATTATATTATAACTTTTAAGAAGAATTTAAAAGAAAAATTAACACTTTTTATTATATTTCAAAATAATACGTATATATTTAATGTATGATATCTTTAATTTCTTTGTTTATAATATTGTATGTATTGATTTTTCTTTGTTTGATAACTTCAGTATTATTCATATCAAATTTTGTTGTTATTAATTAAAATGTTATTAAAAATTATTGTATGTTTTTAAATAATAACTTATAAACTTTATTATCATTTGAAATTTAAAAATAAATTTATAAGTTAATAATGTCAAATTTAATATATTTGATAATTAGTATAATTTTAATTATATTTATTATTCTTATTGGATTTGAAATTTATTTACATCGCGAAACATATTTTCCACAAACATGAAATTTAATATTATGAAGATAAACAATTATTTAGTTATTTAAAAAATGGATAAATTGAATCAATTTAATAAGTATCAGAAAGTGTAGTAATTTTTAAAGTTGTTTTTAACATTTCTGATGTAATAATATCACATGCATGGAATAAAATCTTTTTCGTATTTTCAAACATATGGAAACCATTTTCTGAAAAATGACCACAAATATTACCAGCTTCCAGCCATACAAAAAGTATTATATTATTTGTTACTAATTCAATTTCAAAATCTAAATAATTAAAGAATTTTTCAGATAAATGATAATCATTTATTTTTACCTAAAATAATATATATTTGTTAAACAAAATAATTAATTAAAATATTTTTTTTACAAATTTAAATATAAACTTACAGAAATATTTGCTATTGGTAATGCAATATTTTTCAGGGGATTACTTGGATATATATAATTTCTTGGTGCTATTGAAAATCCATTTTTATCTCTTAAGGTAAGTGTTGTAATGCAATTATTTTTAGTGATATTAAATTGGCATTCATTAAGTGTTGTGGAATTTAAAATCCATGAATATTTGAGTAAATTATCATCAATTTTAGTTACTGCATTGGCTTCCTATTAATAAAATGTTGATTATAAGTTCATAATAAT